CTGCTTCCTCGGGCTTGGACCCCTAATAATAATAATAATAATAATAATAAACGGAACAGATACAATAGGGTTCCATGCTCCGATGGAGACATGGAAACGCTGCTGCTTTGCAGCTGCGTTACCCTGCTTCCTCGGGCTTGGACCCCTAATAATAATAATAATAATAATAATAAAAAACGGAACAGATACAATAGGGTTCCATGCTCCGATGGAGACATGGAAACGCTGCTGCTTTGCAGCTGCGTTACCCTGCTTCCTCGGGCTTGGACCCCTAATAAACAATAAATTCAGCTCAGCTTAAGCACATTCTAAGTCAACGTTACCTTTCTCCTGGTCCTGTTTGGTGACTGGTTGACGGGTCGAAGTTGAACTCCTTTCTTTATTCTTTGCATCATTTCGTCCACTGCCTGCTGCCGGACATCCACTTCTGACAAGTTGGAAAAACAAACACAAGAATCAGAGTTTATTAACAAGGATCAAACTTTGATTATTTATCTTGTGTTGTTTTTATGGAAAGATGAACACCTACATCAGATGTGGGCTCCGCCCACATAGTTTTTAATTTTTAGATTTTTTTCCCCTCTTCATTTTCAYTTCCACTCATCTCATCCACATACATGCAGTGTTTTTAACGAGAAAAATATTGATTGGCGGCCACAGGTACTTTAAGGAACACAAAATTGTCTATTACAAAGTCATTTGTATAAAAGTTAAATCTGACAAACATCAGATGTCATTGCTTCATCATATGAAACAGTTCAACCCAAACAGAACTACTGTCAACTAGGACTGGGCAATAAAACAATAATAATATAAATTGCAATATGTGTGATCAATATCAATAGATAATTGATAAAACATTAATAATTTCACTTACAGAAGTTTATGTAATTTACATATGGAAATAAAAGTCATAATCTGGAGATTGTGACAACAACACACAACAAAAAAACTGATTAACAAATTGTCAATGTCAACAGATATGAAACACTTTTACCGTGATACATTTTTAGACCATATCACCCAGCCGTATCTATCATCAACACAGGGAAAAAAATTCACAAATTTTTAAATGCATAAATATCCCCTGACTGCTGAAGGCAAACCAGTAATAAAGTTGCCTGTCTGACTGTTTGTGCTTGTCCTTTCTGTTTGCAAAATCTCTCATGAACCAGAGGATTGATTTTTAATTGGACCCTCATGAAGTCATCATTGGCTAAACATCTACAACTTATTAACTAAACCCTGAATAAGATGGTCACACAGCTAAGCAGCCTAATAAAACACATTGGGCCTCATGCAAGAACCATTCGTACAAACAGATCTGTTCTTAAGTTGTGCGTACGAGTGAGTTAGGAGAATTTGTGGCATTCACCAATTTTCAATTCTACAATTCTAAGATTTTTTTCAGATATGAACAAAATTCACGAGTGGTCCAGACCTGTTGTATATTTTATGAGCAGTCAGTCTGCTGTTATCCAGACGGATTTTCTTCACTAATAGAGGTGCGCGACTGCTCTTCTTCTGAATAAATAAAAACTATCCAACACAGTTAAAATTAAATGAAAAATATTGGACCAAAGGAAAACCGGAGCAGGAATAGAGAAAGATGAATGTGATTTAGATTTTTCTGTGACTGTATACGACCCACAGGAGACACAGCAGTACTCATCATGTCATTCCTTAGCTTTAGCAGGCCCTTTAATTCCACAGCTGACACTGCTAAAAATGACAGCTTTATTTTTCTGGATCTCTGACTGCAGGATTTCAACCTCTGAACTCGTGAAGTTCTTCTTTTTACTTTGCAATGTCTTTTATGAATGGATATTTCCTGGTATCTGGGGCAGGAAATGTATAGCCTTATATGGTGTTTTTAGGGTGGTAATGATGCCAATCTCTTCTCATGCGCGAGCAGCTGGATACACATTCATCAGTTTATGCAGCTCATTTACACACTTTTCCTGAAGATAGAAGAGTTTGATGAATCTGACGTGGCATGTTCGTACGAGCCCTTCGTATGAATAAAAGTAAGAGAAATTTAGGATGAGAATACAAAAATGTTCTTGCATGAGGCCCAATGATTCTGTTAATCTTAGAGACATGGAGCTAAAATCTGGTGATTTTGTGTTGCTTTGACTCATTCATGAATGTTTGAAAAATCCTTGAATCTCCTGTGGTAGCTACGTGGAGCTGCCTTGCTGGTACAAAGCTTCCCAAAGCTCCTCCCTGGAGATTGGTCTGAAGCCGAGCTCCCACCCCATTAGAGCACCCCTCCCTCCGAAACATGGTTGTGAAAACATACTGAAATGGGAGTGTCTGAAACAGTAGGAGGTTCTTAGAGGCAGAGGTAAATTTCATAGAGGCTATGATGCAAAGTCAAATTATTTTTTATATTTACAGCATTTGCATAAAAGCTGAAGGCAACAGTTACTTGATTGTGGTATAGAATTAAACCATGTGGCCTGAAAATACATAAGACCTCCCCTTTAAAGGTTTATCTAAAGCAGATGTTCTCAAACTGGGGTCCACGAGCCATGTCTCGGGGGTCCTCGAAAAATTTCAATAAATTGTTAATTTGGTTTTTATTTTAAAAAAAATGCATAAGTGGAACAATGCACTAATAAAACTAACATACTAAACCAAACAAAAAATAATATTACCATGGCATTTAGGGATTAAAATCAACAGTAAACTATTTTGCATTAACAGCATGGGGTTTATGAGGGGGGTCCCTGGAAATTTTTCACCCTTGTAAGGGCCCCTCAGACCCAAAAGGTTTGAGAACCCCTGATCTAAAGCATATAGAACTCATGTCTTAATGTGAAATAATCCTAATCCAAATCTCTGGCATGAAACGGGGTGGGCGATGTTCATTCCTTCAAGGAATCTTGTTCTTTTATTTGTGTCTAAGGGGGTCTCTGTACGACCAACAAAACTGAGGTTATTCTCCAACTGATGCTCTAAATGTTGTAACGTTGGATTCGATTGTGGACATGGAATGTTTTAATCATTGTTACTATGGCTGCTAATTTTGCAGTTTTCAAAGTTCAGAGTCTTTGTTACGYTGTGAGGTTATCAAACTTATTCAAGAATGACTCTCTATGTAAAAAGCACACACCATTCAGCTGTGTCTCATACAGAAGTTGTTCAAGGAGACGCTCAAAGAGACGTTAACAAAAAATTTAATTCTGCAATAATGCGGCCCATTCAGGAAGAAATGTGAATATTTAATTTCCGAACATAGAACATTCAATGGCATATACAATAGAAGGTTTTGTAAAAAAAATGTCTTTTTAAAAAAAACTATTTTGCGCTAAAGTAATAGCAAAATATTTTCCTTCAGTGYTTAAAAGGAAGCTATTATTCTGGTGTCAGAGCAGAAGATCCTTGGGTGGTACCTATTCATTCCTGCATGGCGTTTCAACAAACGCTCTGCGCATGGTGCCCAATTCAGGCCTCACAGCTTCAATAACTATTTAACAAAATGAGGACGTGGCGTAACCTGTTCAGTGGACATCCAACCTGCTCCGACGAGTCAAGGCTTCAATTTGTTGGAACAAATTAAAGAATTTGATGTCTTGACCCGAAAGGCTGAAAAATGTAGATTTCGAGGATGATTGGCTCGTAAAGCATTTTAATGATCCACCATTTGAATCTAAACAGATAAATATCTACACTGTGCAATTCATTTTTGTATAGTTATGTGATTTATTCATGTAATATTTTTATTTATCTTATCGTTTTTTTCTTCTTTTTGCTTTTTATCATAGGATGTGGCATATTCTGTAATGGCTAAGATGTGTGACCTGTTGATATTTATTTTATGATGCATCATTTGATACAACTTTTACCTTTGTTGAGCTGTGCATGAAATAACGCAGTTTGCAATTCCACATAAATGACTTTGATTTACAAAAGAAAAAAAACTTTTTAAAACATCATAAGGGATTAAAAAGCTTCAGATTCCATCGGTTTTCTTTACCCACTTCTCCTTTCTGGGTAGTGGGGAGCTGGGGCCTGCTTCCTGCAGCCACTGTTCATGAGGTGGGGACACCCTGGATATGTCGTAAGTCCTTCACAGGGACATAGAGTCAAATAAGCAAACAACCGCATAGAAAGGCCCCAATCACCACACTGCCGTAGCGTCACCAGTTTAAATTTAAACACACAAACTAAAGAAGCTCGAAGAAAATTTGTAGATGAAAGAATTAATGCGCATTCCACTCAGGAAAAAAAATTACTTACAGAATTTGGCTCATAGAAAATGGTTATTGATGCAGCATTTCTTAAATCAAATAAGGAAAAAATAGTTTAAAAAACATTGAATAAATCAGAATGTTTAAAATTTGAAACACATAGTTTCCATTTGAACAACTATTTTCATTTCTCCCATTCTCCTGAACATGTCTGTTATCAAGATTTGTTTGTTTTTTTATTATTTATATGTCTATCTCTTCAAACTTTGTGTTTTCATCTTACTAAAAGATTCACAAGTTTTGTATTTACAGAACAGCTCGACAGAACAAATTGATTGCTATTTTTTTAAGTCGTTCTTTGTTGATAAGAAATAGCTAAAAGCTAGAAACAGGAGTTTCAGTAGAAGCTGATGAATAAATGCTGAAWCATCTGACAAGTCAGCCGGTCGCTTTAACAAAGGAGAAATATGTAAAAAATGATGAAAGAAGAATTTACAACACAAAAGCTTCTAGTTGAGGATTTAGCTGTGTGTTTCACTAGAAACAGACAAACGTAGACTGATTTCTGCAAATTMATTTACAGTTAAGTCCATATTTATTTGGACAGAGACATTTTCATAATTTTGGTTCTGTGCATTATCACCATGCATTTTGAACAAAACATTTCAGATGCAGTTGAAGTTCAGACTCAGCTTTAATTTAAAATGATTGCAAACAAATGTGAGAAACTAAAGCATTCTTTAAACACAAAGCTCTTTATTTCATGGGCTCAGATGTAATTGGTCARATTAAATCATTGTAAATGAAATATTTAATTCTAATACTTTGTTGAAAACCTTTGGTTGTCAGTGACTGCCTGAAGTCTTAAACTCATGGACATCACCAGATGCTGGTTCCTTATTTTATTCTGTAATRTTTGGTCCAAAAACATCTTRTTGCTGCCCTCTATGGGTTGARCAGTGGCTWTTACAGTGGAATTTTCCTACAGGTYAAAATGATACAGCTTGGTACATGCTTACTTCACAGCTCCGGTTYGGGTWTAAAAGCCTCTCACTCAGAGACACGCCCCTGCAGCGAGGCAGGGGTTGGAATAGCGGGCACTGTGGTGAAAGTTTGAACACTCAGAAACTGGACACWCTCTGTGTTCAATTACCTCAACAGCACTGACTTYRTGCATCRCTGAGTCAGCGTCTTGACCCAACGGCTTGATTTGATAAGTCTCACAATRGCTCACCCTCCTCACCGGAGGTTGAACAGTTCTGTCTTAAACCAGTCATATTGTGACAGATTGTTGCCTGAACTTTACGTGTTAGTTTCAAACAGCTAAATGTGAGTTTACATGCATGATATAAAACTTTACTTTTTACAAAAGACATTTTTTTTCAGAAAAATCAGAAATGTTTTCAGAAATCTTAGCTTGTCAAATTAAGCTAGCTGTTGTGTTCCATCATCCTGACCACACATCCYTACTCATTCCCACACTTTAGGCTGTGCCCCTCAGTGTCTTATGGCACCGCCCACTTTGCTATCATTTTTATAATTTACCTGGGGGCAGGGTTTTGCTTTGATGGTGGGGGGGGTACACTTTAAGCACATTTCTTTTTAGTGAAATTATTTTTACCTAAGTCCATCCGTCCGTTTTCCTCCGCTTATCCGAGGTCGGGTTGCGGAGGTAGCAGCCTAAGCAGAAAGACCCAGACTTCCCTTTCCCCAGCCACTTGGGCCAACTCATCCGGGGGAATCCCAGGGCGTTCCCAGGCCAGTCAAGAAACATAGTCCCTCCAGTGTGTCCTGGGTCTT